CAGAGGTTTGTACCTATGTTGTTTATTATTTCTTGCTTATATCTTATAATATGAGAAACTACTTTGGCAGTAACAATACACAATGTACTAACCATTAAAAAAAAAGAGTTAAACAGGAATATAGTAATCAAAGACTACCTGTGAATTTCTGGATCTGAATTCGATTTACTTTCTTTTGCACCTGTGTCACATACGTCTTGAATTCTCGAGAAACGTTCATGTAGAGTAATGTTAGGTGATGGAAAATAATTTGCTGGAAAAAGAAACAAATAATTTCATCTCAATATAAAACTGCTTCCACTTAAGAGATTATATTTAAGCACAGGAAGAAGTGAGTATTAAAACTCCCATCTTTTTTTCTGTTGAAAACACATGGGACCTAAAGTATTTCATACACTAATTTGAAGTGCTCATATGCTTTTTTCCAAGCCCAAGTGAAACCTAATTTATGTTCAAGGCTTTTCTTCCTGATGTATCTGCTTACTTCCCCAGAGCAAAATATAGTGTGTTCTCCAAGTGAGCACCATTTTTCTCTAAAGAACCTTTTTTTCTCCAAAGTAAGACCTTGCTCTATCTGCAAAGTAGACAACACAGAGCTCTACAGTTCAACACAAATAAAAATTAGTTTCGCAAACAACAAATTATTTTGAAACATCAAAACAATTCTGAAAAAACCCTCAATGTTGTATTTTAGGGTCTACAGAGTGTTCAGGGTCTCACTACTACATCAGACTCGTAGTGATATGCCTCTTTAGCCTTTGAAGAGCTGGGATCACAGGCGCACGCCACCACGCTCATTAACTGAGGTTCTTGAAGACAGTCTAAAATCAGCTATGTTATAGGCTTTTAATGGGATAGAAAGGAGAATATACCCAATCCCCCATAACGCTACTTAAATGATCTTTTCTCCTAATTTACTATTCCTGTTGTAGAATAATCTCCTGGATTTTTCTGCTATACCTGCTCCCTTTCTGCAACTAATTATATTTCTTTGGGTGAAAGGCATGGGAGCTGAGAGGGTGGACTGCTTCAGAAAAACTGCATGCTCTCTCTACTTACCCATTGTATACTTGAGGATCAAACCCAGTGTCTCATATAGGCTAGGCTAGTGCTCTATGACTGACCTACATTCCCAGCCCACACTGACATTTCAAAAAATATATATGCCTTAGCTTGAGCAGCACAAAAAAAGTTCATTTTTTTTTTTAGGAACTGGTGACTGAACTCAGGCCCTTGTGTTTGCCAGGGAAGCACTTATTACACCGAGCCATCTCCCCAGCCCAGAAAAAGTTCATTTCTTAAACATGTTTTATGAAGATCCAAAAAGATTAATGCAAGTATAAAGTAAAACTAGGGATTATAGAAGGCCTCTAGCTTATAATACCCTCAACTGCTTTATTTATGTAGCATTACTACAAAAAACTATTCTACCTCAATGAATTTTCCAATTAATGAAAACCCTCCAGAAGCAAAAATAATTTAATGCAAAGCTTTAAAGTATTTATTATGCTACTTTTTAATGCCGTTAAGTATGCCAAATCAAACTGAAATCTTTCACTGATCACTTAACAAATTCCTACAACAGTAAGTCCCTAAGAACATCACAAATGATCTGGACTTCTGTACTGCTTGAGTACCTTTCATATCTATTTTTTGTTGTTGCTTCTCCCTCTTTAATAGGATATCAATTATTCCTTCTCAGTGCACTCTATGTCTGCCTTTTGCAGTGTACAAAACCTCTCCTTTTCTAACATGTGACTTTTAATCTACTAACAGTTGAAGTAAGAGGTTATTAGAAATACATACAAAGAGCAAATAGGCTTGAATGAATGTGACAATTCTCTCCAACAGATTTCCTAATTGATGATATAACTTACAATGAAATATTTATTATTAAACTGTATGACAGGTATCACAGCTCAAGAAAAGTCAGCACAATATTATTGTGTCATCCCTAATGTATGTGTAAAATATACCAACCTTTAACTTGATGAATCATTGTTATGATTTCCTGAGCAAATTCTCTTGTAGATTTGTTTTCAGTATTCTGAGGTGAGTGAAGATGTTCAAACACTGGATGAAATATCTCAATTTTCCTGTCACCAGCAACCAAATCATGTGACATCTGTCTCTCTGTGGAATAGCTAGAAGCATCCCTAGAATAATTCACAAATGTTTAACTAAATTGAAACTATTTTGATAAGGACACAACCTACTGAAAATTAAGATAGCTGCAAAATTAAAAAGAAATGTATTTTTTAATTTTGGCATTAAATTATATGCTATAAAACATGTTTAATAACAATTAGAAAAAAATAGCTAGAGGGTCAGGGATGTAGCTCAGCAGCACAATGTGTGTCTGGCAAGCACAAGGTCCTGAATTAGATTATTGGTACAAAAAAAGATATAGATATATGGTTCTGAGTTCTTTTCAAATCAGAGGTCAGTAAATATTTACCATTTTAATGATAAAAGCTTCAAAGTTTTAACTGAAAAAATTTTTACTTTAAAAATGCAAAGAATTAAAGACAGATTAAGACAGGCATGCATCACCATGCATGCAATCCCAGCATCTGGGAAACTGAAGCAGGAGGATTATTTTAAGTTTAAGGACAACCTGGGCTATGTAAAGGAGTTCAAGGCTAGCTTAGAGTACATAGTGAGATCCCGTCTCAGAAAGAAAAATGACAGAATAGTGTCTATTTCTAAGTGGCCAAAACACTGTACAATCAGCAAGACTGTGCAATCTTGAAATATCACATTTTAAAAGCTGAGCTCAAACTTAAGAATCTTTGACTTCATAAAAATTCTTATATTTCTATTGATAATTAGTAAGTTTAGAATATTATTTTGAACTTGAATTGTTAAGAAATAAATTTAATCACAAAATGTCACTCAGAAAAATAGTTATTAGAGAAGTTCTGGTCATTAATATAAATTATTGTGTTTGTCCTAATATGGACATTTAAAGAAATGCTACCATGTTATATAATCCCAGCTATTTTATTAACTAATACTTTCTGCAACTTGAACTAAGTTTTCATGGTGCTAAGTCTGAACCCATGGCCTTGCATGTGTTCAGTAAGCATTCTACCACTGAGCTACATCCCCAACCAATACATTCTGAATCTTTGATCTTTTTTTTTTCAGGACCAGGGATTGAACTCAGGACCGTGCGCTTGCCAGGCAAGTGCTTATTCTACTGAGTCATCTCACCAGCCCCCATTTTGAACTTTCATTAAGAGCTCTCCTTAGTATGACAGGTACTATTATCAAGTGATTATTACCACACAGAGCTAACATTTATTGAGGTTTACCAAACATAAAGGGTTAGAGCTAACTACCATTATCTTATAATCTTTACAATAGCTCTACGGGGAACACTGAGACAGTGAATGTCCTGGTTGTTTGTTATCAATCAGCATGTACCTCTTATTCGTCTGTATTTCCCTCGAAACTCCTTTTGATGCTCTCCAGAAATCAAGTTCATTGTCCAAAGACCTGAGATTTAAAGCCACTGGGTTCTTTATGAGCATGTTACAGGTTCTAATTTAAACCTAAGGAATATGTTTTAAGTAACAGCAGTACCAATGAATGAATTACATCTCATCAGAAACAGAAAGCAGGGTGGCCGGGGAGATGGCTCAGTGGAATAAGTGCTTGCCTGGCAAGCTCAGGGGCCTGAGTTCAATTCCCGGTTTTGCCAAAAAGAAAAGAAACAGAAAGCAGGGCTGGCGAGATAGCTCAGTAGTCTAAAGCGCCTACTTAGGCAAGCTTAGGCAGGCACGGGGTGGGAGTGGGAGTGGGGGGTGGTTCAATCCTCTGTACCACATACTGCACCAGCCCCACCTTCAGGGCAGGGCTGAGCCTGCCCAAAAAAAAAAAAAAAAACAAAACAAATAAACAAACAAACAAAAAAAAAACAGAGCAATTACATAAGTTTTGGGGTATAGGTGCATGCATATATGCATTTATTATTCAAATCACATATCTATATACATCCAAAACTGTTTCAGGGTCCTGAGAGGATTACAAATATTTTTTGTTGCTTAATTAACTCCTCTAACAAAAGGGTTTCAAGTGCCGATTGATCACTGAAAAGGAGACATTTCTGACTTCCCATGCTCCCTGTTCTGAGACAAGTACTGTCAGAGACAACTCCCTGCCAAAGTAGAAACACAGGAAAGTGATTATGCAGCAGACTGATACAACTGCTGTGGTTGATTCATTAGGACCTTCATTAGAAGAAGCATTTCCCTTCTTTTCTAATTTGGTCCGTGTTTCCTACTGTGCATGTGACAACTAGTCAAGAGACATTCACTGGTAAAAAGCAAGAACATCCCATAACAAGCTCCAGTAACAAAAAAATTACAAATGCTTTCCATTTAAAGGGATGTAATGTTACAAAACTCCTGTCTCATAAGAAAAAACACAGCTTTTAAAAACATTGTATAGGTCAAAAATAAGGTATTTAAATAGAATTATAAAAATGGTATATATGGACAAAAAACAGTTGATTTTTTAAGCCTCAGTTTATCAGAAAAGGAATTCAGCTGATAAGTTTCCAATCTTCCCTGGATAATTAATGATTTACTTATAATTTATTATAATTTCATTATTGACACAACTCTTAACCTCCACTCCATATCCAACACTCAATCCATACAAGTACTTTAGTATACTTTCTGGTGTAATATATGCTGAAGTTATACTTAATTTCTGAAATTTTAGTGTCTAAAATTGTTATGTTAAAATTTATCCTAGAGTTCCTTCAGTACAGGATTTTAAATTAAAAATATTAAAATTATCATTTTCTAGGAAAAACAGTATAGCCCCAAATTTTAGTACTTAAAAAATCATGGGGCAGGGGATGTAGCTCAGTGGTAGAGTGCTTGTCTAGCATGTACAAGGTCCTGAGTTCTGAGTCCAGTACTGCAAAACAAAAACCAAAAACATGATACTTAAGATATCTTTTGCTATAGGAAAAACTATGCAGACTTGAAAATGAAAATATTCTAAGTAGTCATATTTCTTCTATTTTTTTAAAAAAATTATGTATTTATTTACTTGGTACAGGGTCTTGCTATACATCTCAGACTTGGTAGTGATCCTGTCTCAGCCCCCCCAGTGCTAGGATTACAGGCGTGTGTCACCATGCTCGGTTTCGGTGGCTGGCATGGCACACCTGGGGTTCCGGGGCCGGCACAGTATGTTGTGCTGGGGATCAAACCCAGGTCTTTGTGCTTGCCAAGCAGGAGCTTAGACCACCAAGCTACCTCCCCAGCCCTAAGTATTCATATTTGTAAATCTAATTATCTCTTGGTTCACTTTCCTTTTTAATTTCCTATGACATGGATTGATTAAACAGTTAATAATTTTAGGAAATTTCCCCTGAACAAGTAGCTACTCAGAAAAGACTAAATGTTTTCTCAACTGAAATACATTTTAGACTGTTTTAAGGAATAAATACAGTCCAAAATCTGAATCTTAATGCTACTTCTAGTACTGAATACAAATCTTCTAAATTTGTTTGTTCCCTTCCCTTGTTTTTCCCATCTTCTTCTCTATTTAAGGATGTTCCCACTGACATTCTCCTTGAGTGCTGTGCACAAAAATCTAAGAAAACATAAAAAGCTACATTAAGTTTAATTTTCTATTGTTCATACTTAGGACACATAAAAATAAATGCATGGCAAACCACCTACAACAAAATACCCAACAACAAAACCCCAAAGCAACAGTAGGTCTGCCCTCTGGAAGCTCTTACTATATAATAAAAATCATGACTCATAGTAACTTCTACCTGATAATTAAGTTTCTGACAAAGTGGGTCACTAGAACACAGTCTTTCTTAACAAAAGAACTAACTATACAGTGAACATTCAAGCAAATGTCTGCCTTCTGTTTCCAGATACAACCCAGAATCAGGAGAAATCACCAGGAGATAGCCTCATGTTTTCAACCAGACTGGTAACTGAAGGAACAAATATCAAAATATCTGATCAAAACCAAGCAAATGATGCACAAAATTAACCATCTTACTCCTTAAAAAGTGGATTATTTCTAAATATTAACCAACAAATAAATCCTTCTCTATACTATTCTATGATTATTTCCATCTTTTCCAGCAAAGAAAAATCTAATTTATGTTTAATAGTTGAAAACATAATTCTCCTGAGGGCATTAACTACCTTTTATGGATACTTCATCAGTACATACACGATTAAATCCAACCTACAAAACACTTCCACAACTCACACACCAATACATGAGAGCAAGATTTTGTTCACTATGATGCTTTATTGTACTGAAAAGATGCATATAATTGTTCAGTTATTTATTCTTCAGGTCTTTGAATAGAGAGAATTTTCAGTCAAGGCTCTTTATTACAAAAGGCATCCTGCAGGCACTGTTCAAACATTCAAACATGTCCTGCCAGGCTCCACTGATAGATCATGAGAATTCATAAAATTATAGTTTATATGTTCAAAACAAAAGTGCAGCAGCAGCCTCAATTTTGGGAATTTCATTTCTGTGACAGGTGATGATGATGCTTCCATTTTTCATTTCAAATTATAAAATTAACTGTATAGTATCTTGAATGAGGTCCTCCAAAACTGGTATTTCTAGCATTCTTTTCTTTGTCTTTTTGATAAAGGGTCTTGCTATGCAGTTCTGGCTGACCTTGAGCTCACTTTGTAGCTCAGGCTGGTCTCGAACTCACAATGGTCTTCCTGCCTCAGCCTTCCAAGTGCTGAGATTACAGGTGTGTGCCATTACGCCTGGCTTTCCAGTATTCTTTAAAAGTACAATATATTAATTCCTCTTAAGCACACGTATTCATTAGTATATTTTATGTATTTCCTGCAGGTGCAATGAATGTAGGAAAAGTATGAATGAGGACTGGTGTGTCTAAGTTTAAGAAAAGGAACAAAACTACTGCTTAAAAAAAGACTTCGGTATAACTCCTTCTCCTATCCCCATCCTAGTCTTTCAGTTTTCTTGTTTTTGACTGAAGTACAACTGTGAATATGTCTCAAATCAACACGGTCCATCATGTTTTCATTCTTACATTGGTAGGGTACAAAGGCCATGAACAGATTTAGCCAACATAAGCCAAACTAAAGCAACTTGCTATTCTTAGAATCCATAAATGTGAGATACTATTAACAATGGGATAAAGCAGACAAGCTTGCTTTAAGAAACTATAACTTATTATAACAGGAGTCTGGCTTTTTCCAAGAATTATTAAGAACTAAAGTACACATCTTATAAATAGACATCTTCGAAGATTATGGCCTAATTTCTTCTACTGGAAGAATCTCGTCAATTAAGCCCAGTTATTTCAGGATGGCAACAGGAACCACCTTAAGTCTTCTACCTCCTGGAGTCACAAGGGAACAAATAGACTTAAACTGTAGTCACTTTTTTTAAAAAATGTATTTGGTACAGGGTCTACAGGGTCTCACTATGTAGATCGGACTCGCAGTGATTCTCCTGTTTTCAGCCTCCCAAGCGCTGGGATTACAAGTGTGCCACCACACCCAGCCTCAATGACCATCTCAGCATGCCCCGGAGGAGGGGCCGGCACAGAGGCTGAATCCAACCCCAGCCGCTGTGCTCTGCCTAAGCAGGTGCTTTAGTCCGCTGAACAAACTGTAGTCACTTTTGACAAAGGCAAGTCACTTCACCTCTCAAGGCCTCTTTTTCCTCCTCTAATAAATCAGGACCTGCTAAAGTCTCTTCTCACTCAAAAATTCCCTAAACATCATCAGGGAACACAGGCTCTGAGCAATTGCAAAGATCAGGTCTCCTTGAATTCCTATCCCTGAATAAGAAACATCTGGCAGCACAGAAATACTTTGATTCATGAAGAACAACTCCATGGAATTCCTGGCACTCAAGAAGCATCTGGAGATAGGATGTGGGAACAAGCAGACATGCAATCACCTCCTATTAATAATGGCAGGACTCATTTTCATTATAGGATTTTTTTTTGGGGGGAGGAATCCAGGTGATCCCACTACCCCATGGGCTAAACACACTACAAGTTCTACTTCCAAAGCTGAAAGTTAAGGTGGCAGAAGAATTAAAGATCATAAAGAGAAAACAAAGATAATACCTGGATGGATCTACATTTTTCTTCACATCTACTTTAACTGTAAGTGACTTCTTCTCAAGACTGACAGATGAGGGTTTCACATTGGAAAGGTTTTGACTGATATCCACTTGGTTACTGGAGGAATTGTTCTCTTTTCTACAGTCTTCTTCTTTCTTCATTTTTTTCTTCCATTTGTCATTACAGAGCTTCAAATTAACCTCATTTTTACTTGAATGCACACAAGGAATGCAGTCTTTCTTAGGTGGTTTAATAGGAACTTTGACAAGTCCATCTTCGGTCTCTCTCCCACGTCTAGCATTAAAACAATCTGATTCTCTATTTACAGGGTCTTTTTGAGAATATTTTCTATCTTCTTCTTTCAAGTATTTCTGAGTTCTCCCAACAGTAAAGCCCTGGTCATCATCTGAGAGCCTATGGTGCTTGTGATGATAGTCATACGATACTTTGGTTGCTGAAGTGGTCTTTGGGTATTCCCTCTCAGCATATCGGTGAGCTTGGGGTCTGAAGTTCCGCGGATTCTTCTCCTGGTAAGCTGGGAAAGAATGCTCAGGCTTCCACTTTGGGTTCCTGGCAGACTCTCTTTTTTCATATTTCTCCACATCTTTAGTTCTTTTTGATGTGTGTCTATATTTTCTGAAATCACGATCCTCAGGATACCTGTGTTGACATAAAGCAGTTTACACTTGCACTACAGAGAAGAAAGTGAGAATTTATATGTGTAGAATGCTGGGCAGCATGGCTTTAAATGCAGAACACAGAGGTAAGATAACCTTGAGGTAAGTTACCTTACCTCAAACCAATTCATAGATGCACAACGTAAAGAGGAAAATACCATCTTTTAAAAAATATTCTAGCCATCAGTATGATTTACTCTAAAAAGAAACACTTAACTACTACTAGTAGACCATGACTAAACTATAATGCTTTCTATCTTTTTCTATCTTTTTAAACAAAAGATTTTCAAGGTGGTTATCTTCAACTATAAAGTAAACACTTTTTCACTTGAGGCTTTAAACTAAATTACCCGGGTTTAATGTTTTCCTATACCTCTTCTGAAAAGAGCTCCTTGTGTCAAAGTCTTCTGAGCCTCTTCTAGATGACTGGGGATATTTTTCGTCTTGCATCCTCTGGTGCCTGAACTCATCTTCATGCCACTTTCCTTCAAATGTAAAGGGATCTGCCATTGACCTCTCAGGTGGTTTCCTTCCTCTCTCATTGTAGTTATCAGGAATATACCTCCCTTGCATTTTCTGGGGATAAGGGCTCCTCTCATGCTCTAGGTAGGATACACCCTCTGAGTATGTGGGCATATACTGAGACCTTCTATTACCATCCCCTCTTTCAGGCAAGTATACTTGGTGAGGGTTATATGTGTAAACACTGTCAAAAGAGTTTCTTATGTTTGGGGAAGGTGATCTATGCTCATAAGGCCTATGATAGAAACTTCCATGAGGGAAAATCCTTGGTTTATTTTGTCCATGTTGCTCATCTTCCACTCTCCAAGCAACAGGGCTTCTCAGATCTTTTCTATATTCACAGCCATAAGGCCCAGAAGATCTTTGCTTGTAGTATTCAAAATTTCTAGATACTGGTGATAAAGACCTATGTGAACAAATACAGAAAAGTTTAGTCCATTTTAAGACAATACACTGTTTGTCTTATATGACCCACTTACAACGTTTAACTTTCCAAAAAGTACACTGTTTCTTCCACTCAAAACAAATTAATCAATTTGCTGTATGTGGAACTGTGTATTGCAGGTCTGAAGATGATACTGCCTAACCTGACAAGTGTTCTCTTTCCTTCTGACCTAATGTATTTGATGTGCACAGCAAAATGGGCTGAATATACTCATTGTTTTGAAGGAGGACCATCTTAGGCATACAGCAGGATCCATTTTGGAAAATTGCTGATTGCAAAATTCTGACAAAACAACACCCAGACACTTCAAGTGGCTAGTCAGCAAAAGCTTAATCAGGTTCAACAGCCAAGTGAGACGCTGAAGGAACAGATTCACACAAGCAAACATGTAGAAGAATGTCTGGAAAACTGAATATGACCTCTGAAATTAAATTAGATTCTAAGATGAAATGATACAACAACCCAAGCTTAGATCTAAGGTTGATATCATTGTTTTTTACACTGAATATCTATTCTCTCTCTTAAAGATATATTAAGAAGTAAAAAGTACACATTTAACAGGTAGAAGGGGAAGGGGAAAAAAGTGAATCTTAAGACTTGAAACTTACATTCAATTCCTCCATTAATATTTCTACCAAAAATAAACTTTTCTTTCCCAGACCTAATCCTCACATATCAATCAGAAGATATGCTGTTCAAATAGTGCCAGTAACTTTGGTGAGAATTTTTTTAGTAGAGATGTAATGCTCTCTAGGGACAACACATTCCTTCTATGTCTACCTTCTCCAGAACTCTGACATTGCCAACATGGAGTCTTATATTCCTACTGAAAAGTTCCTACAGCTAGGGAAATGAGTGTGAGTTTCCCAGCCTAAAAGTCGAGAGAAAGAGCAATGCTATTATCTAGAACCCCATAAAATTCAATTTTGCACCTAGAATCCTTTCCCCATCTGTCCAATATTTCAATCTTACTATTTTTTTGTCTTTTTGAGACAAGGTCTCAATAAGCAGTTCAGGCTGGCTTTGAGCTCACTTGCTATTATCCTCCTGTCTCAGCCACCCCAGTGCTGGGATTACAGGCATGTACTGCCATACCTGGCTAATGTTTCACTCTTAATGTCTTCTAAAATAATGAAGAGGTTACCCTTGCAGATTTTTTATTCACACCCTTAAGTGATGCCCCAGAGTTAGAGAAACTATGAGTGAATCTTTTTACTTTCAGGGACAAGACTATATTCTCCATACAAGGAAGGAGGCATATCTGTCTCCCTCAGGTATCTATGGGTACATATATACAATACTGCCCTCTAGACTCATCAGGCTAAATATACTGGTAAGTATTACTTAGCTGAATCAGAGAGAATCCAGAGCTATACTTTATCATAGGAGAGGAAGCAACTACAGCCTCTGAGGACTTCCTGGAACATTTCATTGATTTTACTGCTAAGGAGAAGCCAGAGGTCTTCCAGACTGGATGAAATACCCAAGATCTTACTTTAATCCTTACTTTACATTAAAAACTGTATTGATGTTACATTTTATAGCATGTTTTACTATATAACGCCTCTTTCTTCTGGAGAAATTTGCTGGATTGCCATCACTTACAGTTATCTTAAAGCAGTGATGGTGAACCTTTTAGAGACCAAATGCCCAAAATGCAACCTAAAAACCACCTATTTATTGCCAAGTACCAATATTACAATTAAACCTGAACACTGAGGTTTTAGTTTAGAAAAAATAACTGTTACCTGATACTTGGCTGCAGGGGCAACTTGGCTCATGACCCAACATACAGAGCTTGGTGTGCTCATTGTGGCACACAAAACATAAGCTCACCACCACTGTCCTAGATCGAGTCTGTTGGGAGATAGTTCTCCACAGTCTTCTGAGTTCTGCATGCCTTACCAGTACAGGCATGGGCAGGTTTTGTTGCAAGGCAATCAGCCTTGGAAATAGAGACTGGGTCTCCCTTAGGGACTGAGAGTTGATTTGTTTGCTCCCAGAATAATAAGACATTGTTTCCTCCAAGGCAGACTGGGAAGATCTGTGCACAGCTATGCATAGGGGACTCAGGTTTCTCAGCTATGTCACAACCCCACTGCTCTGCAGCATCCACCCAGCCAGCCCTTCTGCAGTGCTGGCCCTCAGTGGTCACAGAGGGCAGGTGAAGGACATGAATGTGAAGCTCAAGCTGCCTGCTGTACGATGAGTAATAAATGCCTTTGTTTCTGACCCAGGAGTGCTTTCTGGCAGGCTGATGAGTTAGGCTGCAAGTAGGGTAAAATATCTTGCTTGACCAAGAAACCTAACACAAAAAGGTGAAACAAAATGACTTCTATGATACCTTCTGTTTGAATCATGTGCTTCATTACATTCTCTTTTTATTTCTGAAGTCCTCACATTATAGTCTGGTGAAGTACAAAATGAAAACTGCTAAAGAACTGATAGATGGGTCACTACATTATCAAAATGAACAAGCACAGTGGCCAGGTTACATTAACATGAAGATATTGGTTTCCTTTCTGTGTATGTAACTGTGGTCTTTTTTTTTTTTTTCAGAACCGGGGATTGAATTCAGGCCCTTGTACTTGCCAGGGAAGCACTTATTCCACTGAGCTATCTCCCCGGACCCTATTGTGGTCATTTTAAGGCCTAAAATAAACTAGTTACATTTATAGTTTTGAGCCTTTGTTCTTCAATTGAATACATTTTTCCTTCTTTCTGCCTTTAGAAATTTTACCCACCCTTAAGTACTGAGCCAACGTTGTTTCTGGTCTTCTTCAAGAAATTTTTCCTCTATAAAAGCAGAGTTATTTCCTCCCTGTAGATCCAGAATGCTTTGTCCCCATCAGTAACAGTGCATTTTTCCTGCTTTCATACTTGGCAATCTCCCCAGCCAGACTGTGCGCTTGCTGAGAGGCCAGGAAAGTCAGGATATTTGCCTTTATAGCAGGTGTACAATAAAAACTGGTTAAAGTGCTTTAATCTAATTACATATACTATTGATACCACCCACCAGAAGAGGTGAACTACAACTGAGCTATTCAAAACAATTATGTGCCATGATTAAGAAACTGTTTTCTAATTCTAAATTTCTTCCAAAAAATTGATCACTAAAATATGAAGAGCTCTAAACCACACACAATTCTAAACACTGTGACACTCAAAGATGTTTCTTACCCTCTTGCTATGGCTACTGTATTTATTATAAATTCCAGCTGCTATCCATAATTAAAGCTGTCAGTTCTTAGAATATAGAAATACAACCTTTACCATAACCTCTAATGTAAATAACCAAGTCTCATGGGCTTATTTAAAATAGATTTTTACTAGTAGTGGTGAATTTTAAAGTCATAGCACAACCCAAATTCAAGCTTACTCTGCTAAAGTACAAACTGCTCACCTGAGTTTCCATCTGGGGGATGGAGATTGTGACCATGCCATCCTTTGACACGTGGGCCACTATGCAATTTTTTATACTGCAAAGAAACACAGTTATTACCAGTTTTGTAGAAAGAGTTTCCAATTTGCTCTAAAACACAGTGAATGCTACCAACAGAAAGATATTTAACCCCTCTTTGCCTTATTTTCCCATTTGCAAAATGGGAATTATAGTAACACTTACCTTACTGTAATGTTGTCAAGACAAAATGAATAAAATTATATCAGAAAATTTTTTCTCTGATGGACCACATTGTAACTGTTTCAGGTTTTGTAGGCCATATAGAATTTTTCTCAAAACTACCTACTTTAAAAAACATAACACCCTAAAAATGTAAAAAAATGGTGAGACTACCTTGAGATACGCTGTAAGTATAAAATATACATCAGGTTTTAAAAACTTGGTCCAAAAAAGGAAAAGAATGCAAATATTTCCTTAATAGGTTTTCATATTTATAACACATTAAAAGGATTATCTTGAGTACATTAGGATAAATCTTTTATGGTGTTAAAAGTAGTTTAAAAATAAAACTCTAACACAGGTTTTAGCTAAAGAAAAAGTAGGTCGGGTAGGATAAATGTACTATAGTTTGATGACCCCTGAGTTAAATCATGAAAAGAACTTACTAGTGTCTAGCACAAATACATGTTTCCCTGAAGACCTAGGTAAAAAACTAGAGGTCAAAAGTGCCATCCCCATTAAGCTTATCTTACCTTACTTGCTTTAAGGAGCAGATACCAAGTAAAGAATAGTGATGGCAGTAGGGCAAGGATGGCATGATTAGGGCTGGCATTTATGATCTCTGATTTTCACAGCTATTTTCTGTGTAGTTCTTATTTTGGGCAAAGAAGGTAACAACTGCTAAATAAGTGTTCTGAAAAGAGGGAAAAGTACCCAGAATTATTTTATCTGAATGCAATCATTACTGTTTTCCTGGTGTTTGCCATGATCTTACAGTCTTCATATAATTACAGTCAGAATAGGGATAGAATATAGGACATCCTGTTTTTTTTTAAATAGATTACAAAAATTGTAATTCCTAATTATAAGAGTTACTGCATAAGTTTTTATCAGATAAATTTACTAAAAATTTAAGCATTAAATAATTACTTGATCTCTGATTTTGTGCTAAAATAAGTAACACCAAATATGTTTTTGGTGCTGGGATACAAATGAAGGGCCTCACACATGCTAATCATATGTTCTACCACCAAGCTACATCCTCCAACCCAAATGAGTAAATTTTAGAAGTATTTTAGATATTCTTGAAAACCTGATAGCTTCAGAAAATGAATTTTAAAAATACATAATTAGGATAAAAGCCTCTATACTGTTACTTATATCTCAGTAGTCCTCAGTATGATTCTATAATTAATTTTTTTTCCCTGTATTTTAAGGGAAGGGTCTACAGGGTGTTCAGGGTCTCACTACTAGATCGGACTCGTAGTGATTCTGTTTAGTGAGGAAGTGCTGGGATTACAGGTACATGCCACCACGCCCAGTCTCAATCACTGTCTCAGCACGCCCCAGGGGCAGGGTGGGCATGGCAGGGCCAAGGATCAAACCCCCAGTCCCTGTGCCTGCTTGCAGGCACTTTAATCCAGAGCTATTTGGCCAGCCTTGATACTATGATTAAGTAGTTCCCCACTTACTAGTTCTAAATCTCTGGTAGCTTTCAAAATTATTGCCATCTGTACATGAATCACCAGGCATACAGCCTGCTATGGTGTATACCTAGATGTCCTGCCCAAAGAAAGCCTCATGTGCTCAGAAGTTAGACTTTGGAGATAGAATGAATAATGGGGGCATGGTATTCTCATCAGGGGATTAGTGTACTGATGAGTTTATAGCTAAAGATGAGTCACTGGGAATGTGACCTGAATGGGTCTATACCTCCTTTCCTCCCTTGATCTCTCTCTGCTTCCTGTCTGACATGATGAGCTGTTTCTCCTTTGCCATTCTTCACTGCTATGCCACCCTGCCTTGGAGCCAGACTATGGACTACAACCTCTACAAACTATAAGCCCAAACAAACCTCTAGTCTTTTAATTTGTGGCTGTCAGGTACTGCATCTCAGCATCAAGAGTGTAAGACAGATTTTGGTACAAGTAGTAGTCATTGCTATGAAGTTACCTGACTATGTGGTTCAGAACCTTCGAAGCTGGCTTGTGGGAGTTTGGAAAGGTTTGGAGATGTCAGCTGGAGAAAATGATCAAGGATGCTATGAGTCAAGCTTGATGGTAGACTGTGGTTGGAGCTTAGAAGACCAAAATATTGATAATAATGTAGCCAGAAAAGACCAGGCTCAAGAGGTTTCATTTGGGAAGGACTCCATCAGCAGTTGGACTCCAGACAATGTGTGTTAGCAGAAAAATTATTTGTATTTTTCTCATGTTCTGAGACTTTGCAGGAGACTGAGGTAAGAGTGGTAGATTAATTAATCTGGCAGAGGAAATTTAAAGACAGCCAAACTTTCAGGCTATGGCTTGAGTACTGTTGGGGGCTTCTAGCTAAATCTACATTGAGAATCAAGAGCAAACAGCATGGCTGAATGATTCTAAGTTTTTGAGTTTGGCCAGAAATGAAGCTCCAGTAACATTGGATCCTACAAAGATGAAGTAGAGGTCAACATTACAAAGAAGTCAAGTACTCTGGATCTAGACAATACAAAGGATATCTTGAGGCCACTGAAGGAATCTAAAAGACCTGATCCTTTGTAAACTCAAGGGTGGAAAAGTGAAAGATTTTGCTTAGAGAAGAGAGCCTTAGGGCACCATGCTCCAGAACAGCAGCAGCCTAGGGAATGTGAATTGATTCCTTGAGAGTCAATTCAGTATGCTCAGCCATTCACAGTCAGAGGCTTCTGCCACCATGAGCTAGATACAAAAGGGCTCAGTTACTATTCAGGCTGGAGCCAGACCTTGGTGTCATCCACATGGTTCTGGATTTATGCACATGTAGAATGCAAGAGTTGTGGGGTCAGGAAGACTTCCACCAAAATATCAGTAGAAGGTCTGAGAGGCCAGGCACTGTGCTTCTGAGAGGGCAGTGTGTAAAGCCAAAAGTGCAGTGGAGACCCCAGAAGGTTGTGGAAGCCAGGACATGGAATGTCTGAGGATAGCCACAAGGAGTAATCAAAGGCAGTCCAAGACAGAAGCCATGAGGGCTACAACCACCAGCAGTGCCAGAGAGGTAACTATAACATGGTATCACGTTGTGGTTTTGGTTTAATTTCCCTAATTACTAATGAAAGTTAACTGTGGAACATGCAAAAAACTACTAAGCTAATGAGTCTTTCCTTTAATCTAGTAATTTCAGTTAAACTTATTAAAAAAATAATTTAAAAGGATAAAGAAACAGTATATACTAAAACGTTTATATTAGCTTTGCTTACACAGCCAAACAGATTATAACCCAAATGCCAACAATCAGTAAAAGATTAAATAAATTTAAAGTGTATAAATCTAGCTGCTTTCTACCTTTTTCCTAGTTGTATTTCTCTTTTTTCCCCATACATCCTACTACCTTTGCCTGATTATATCTGCTGTTTCTAAGATATAAATAGCCTTGTCATTAACAAATCCCTATTCTTTCAGAACTACTTGATCATCATCTCCCCTAGGGAATCTTCCTTTGGTCCCTCACCCTAAGTTTCTCCCTTCTTTAGGAATTCTGTTTGTTCTATAGTTACTTTAATATATTATATTTATTTAATAGGCAAAAGATTTCAAATAGCATATCACAGAACAAAAAAATTTAACATAAGAATGTATGAAATATTCAAACTTACTAATAATTGGTAAAATGCAAATTAAGATCTTAGTCCTTTTATACCCACCAAACGACCAGAACAATTATTTAAATTCCACATACTGTAGTATTTGCAAGGATGTAGAACAACAGGAACTTTCATATATTGCTAGTTGAATATATACAAGTATAATCAGTTGGGTAGCAATTTGGTAGTACTGAACTTAATAAAGCTGAATGTGTCAATATCTCACAACTCAGCAATTCCACACTTCAGAGCAGTGGTTCTCAAATTTCCTGTACATTTAAATTACCTGTAGAGCTTGTCAAAACATAGACTTCTAGTCCCTGCCCCGGGAAGGCCTTAAATCCAGCAAGTTCCCGTTAGTCCAGGGACTTCTGAACCACTAGTTTGGGGAGTGGGGAGTGGAGATCAATTGGCAGGGCTGGGGAGATGGCTCAGTAGAATAAGCACTTTCCTGGCAAGTGCAAGGGTGTGAGTTCAATCCCCAGTTCCGCCAAAAAAAAGAGAAAAAAAAAGAAATTGAGAGAAAATGTTTGCAAAGTAACATACAGTGCATATGATAAAAGTATTCCTAAAAATGTTGTCTTTTGGTTAACTTTTTAAATATTCAAGGATGTTTCTGCACATAAATTGTACTTCAGAGGTGTAAAAAAAGTTTAGTTTTTTTTTTTAATTTAGTGTGTGTGTGTGTGTGTGTGTGTGTGGCCAGCTCAGCCCACCAGGGGGCAGGGCTGGCTGGCATGTGGTGCTGGGGGAATCGAACCACGGTCCCTGTGCTTTCCCAAGCTTGTTCCAAGTAGGTGCTTTAGACCACTGAGCCATCTCTCCAGCCCAAAAAAGTTTAGTTTTAGGATGATGAAACAATCCTCTTTTTTTTGGCAGAACCAGGGATTGAACTACTGAGCTATCTCCCTGCCTCATGAAACTATTCTAAAATTATCAGACTTTATGGAAATGGTTGTACAACTCTGCAAACCTGCTAAACACTACTGGATAAAACACTTTACAACCATAAATGATAATAGTTATCATTTAGTGATTTCATCCTTTAGGTCTCTGTCTATACCCTCCCTAGTATACTTTCATTCAGTTTGCCAGCTTTAAATACTAGCAATCCCCCCAAATCACATCTCTAGCCCTCATCTATCCTCTCCACTCCAGTCTTGCATATCCAACAGCCCACGGAATACTGTAAACATGCCCAAGAGTAATCTCCTGAGCTGCTTACAAATTAAGCTCTTCCTCAGTCTGCTCCATCTTGGTAAATGGCAGCTCCATTGTTATGGTTTGTGTCTATTTGTCCCCCCAGAGCTTCATGTAGTCATTGGAGCAGGTTTCTGGAGTTTGTGGTTAATTCATGAGCCAATGCTGGGATTATGGGTGCGAGTGCTACACCTGCCCTGGGGCAGATAGCCTGAAGGCAATATAATGAAAAGAGACAGGCTTACTTCTGCCTTTCTGCAGCCACAGCTGCTACTACCCTCTTTGCTCTTTGCTATTTTCCACCACCATGAACTGGATGCCCTCTGCCATGTGCCACACTGCCTTGGAGCCTGCCAGGTATGGACTGAAACCTCTAGTAACTGTGTGCTAAATAAACCTTTTCTTCCTTAATTTTGGGTGTCGGGTGTTTTGTCCCAGCAATGAGATAAAGGTAACCAAGACATACATCCTTCCAGTTTTCAACGAAGAGGAAACAGAAATGTCCCACAAATATAATAAAAGATACTCAATTCTATTAGGAGTTCAGGAAATGAAGAGAAACTACTTCATATTTGTGATATTTGCAAAAAATTTAAAGATAGATGGCCCCATACATTGGTAAGAAAGCTGAAAAAAAATTTCTCCGGTGGGAATGACAGCACACACCTGTAATTCTTACATTCTAAGAGGCTGAGGCAGAAGGATAGCCAAGTTTCAGCCCAACCAGTGAAATTCAGGGACTTAATGAAACCCTGTCTCAAAACAAACAAACAAACAAACAAAAAACCACAAAAACCTCACTTATGGAAAATTACTTTCCAAAACACCACAAAGCAGAACTGTACTCCAAAGAAAATTAAATACTTTATACTCTAAATCATTTGAGACTATTTTAAAAACAACATGGATTTAGAAATTAAAAACTAAGACCAAAAATACATCAGGCTGAGTATGGTGGCAGTACCCGTAGCCCCAGCAATCAGGAGGCAAAGGATCACTTGAGTCTTATGAGTTTGAGACCAACTTGAGCAGCACAGTAAAATTCTGTTCTCTCTCTCTCTCTCTCTCTCTCTCTCTCTCTCTCTCTCTCTCTCTCTCTGTCTTCCTCCCTCCCTCCCTCCCTCCTTCCCTCCTTGCCTCCTTCCCTTCTTTCTTCCTTTCCTCTCTCTTTCTCCTCCTCCACCAATCTCAGAAAAAAAGATCAGGTACAGCTATTCCCCTCTTCTTCTGGGTATTGATTTTGTAAATAGAATAAGAAGTATTAAAAAAAGATTTAGAAATGATACACAATTTCACTAAACAAAATGATAGGAATTCAACAATAGTTGTTACATTCCATATTGCTATCTTCAAATTAGTTGTTCAGATTACCAGATATAAGCATGCAAAATTGATCATCTCCTGGGTGTTTTTCCAGAAGAATTAAAAGTATCAACCACAGATATATAGGTACACCTACAATTTGTCATAGTTAAATTTTAGAAACAACACAAATGCCCATCAACTGAGTAATGGATAAAAAAGATATGGTATCTTTATACAATGGAAGCTTTTTACAGGGAAATGGATGTAACCGTAGACCATACTCTTAAGTGAAATAAATCAGACCTGCATGCATCGCCTTATAGCGCGGAGACGAGCTGAAGCAAATAAGCAACATGTAAGGTGTCAGAAGTGCTTGGAATTTGGACATTGGACTTATGAATGCACTGGGAAAAGAAAATACCTACATAGGCCCTCAAGAACAGCGGAACTAAAGAAAGCTTTAAAGGAAAAAGAAAACA